AGAAGAGGGAGGAGGAGGAGAAGAGGAGAAAAAGGAGGAGGAGGAAGGAGAAGAGGAAAAAGGAGAGGAAGAGGAGAAGAGGAGGAGGAAGGAGGAGAAGAAGAGGAGGGGGAGGAGGAGGGGCGGAGAAGGACGAAGAAGTTGTTTCTCTTCTCATCCAAGAAGTTTCATCAGTTCTGGCTGGATTGGACGCCCCCTAAAGACCACTTAGGACAGGGTGAGGTCAACTTCTTCCTCAAAGGAGGGAAAAACACCATAGTTCACTTGGCCCTTTGCAAACAAAAAAAAAAGGACTTTTGCCATGACCTTATTGGGTTGCAAACATAGGACAAAAGTTGACTTACAGTTGCTAAGAACAACAACTTGATGACTTGCAAGTAACATTTTCCCTTTGTTAATCGACACAATGCATTCCTATTTCACATTGTGGCCAGCAGTGATTGTGAAAAAAATAAATAAAATGTATTCCCTCAAATATTGGCTCCGCTTCCTTCCCCCCCCCTCTCCGTGGAATCAATCAAGTGTTGTTCCATTGGTTGCGACAGAAATTGACCGACTGGCTTGACGTCGTAGGCCGAGAATGACTGTTGACCCAAAGTCACACAGCCGGCTTCTGTGCCTAAGGCGAGAAAGAATTCAACATCTCTTGTTTTCCAAGCTTGGTGCCTTCACCACGAGACCTAACTGGCTTGAACGACCACAAAGCCAAGGCATGATTCTTCTTCCTGTTAACTATTTACACCAGAAATAGTGTAAATGCACAGCAGAACAACTAGACACAAGGACCATTTTTTCCCCGAACGCCATCACTCTGCTAAACAAATAATTTCCTCAACACTGTGTTGTACATTATGATTCTTGACTCTTGACAAATGTATCTTTTCTTTTTATGTACACTGAGAACATTTGCACCAAGACAAATTCCTTGTGTGTCCAATCACATTTGGCCAATAGAGAATTCTATTCTATTCGGTCACATCTATTTTGTCACACATATTTTGTGACATATACATGAGATGTCAATCGTTTGCAAATGGATGTATTACTTTAAAAAACATTTTTTTAGAGGTGGGGGTGTTTTGAAAGGGCTGGGAACTAATATTGTAGCAACATTAATCAGTATTTAAGGGGAAGGAAATAATCTGTGTACAAGTAGTCCTTTACAAATCCTCGTTTAGTGACTGCTCGAAGTTACAACAACAGCACTGAAAAAAGGGAAAACATTTTCTCTTAGGAATAATACCAGAAGGACATAGGAAGAATTTAATTTATCTAATAATACATGTGTTGACGGCAGCTAGAATAATATATGCACAATACTGGAAGAAGGAAAGAATACCGCCAGAAACACAGATAATAAGGAAAATTATGGCCTGTGCAGAATCAGATAGATTAGAATTAAAAAAACAAGGGAGAATCTAAGTACTATGAAACATGGAATAAATTCTATCGGTGGTTGCATAGAAGAAGGCAAGGTTGGAACATAAGTAGCGATGATGATTAGAATAATTAGTAAACAATGCATCAGACAAGAGGATTGTAAATGGTGAAGTAAAATGTATACACGCATAACAATTTTAATGCCAGATCGGCTGCACCGTGTTGTATTCTTATAATTAAAATTAAAAAAAAAATACATAATGTCTCGCTCAGCACGGTAAGTTTTGGGGTGTCAATTGTAAGTCAAAGACTACCTGTATACACGCTCCATTTTTTTTTTTTTAATGAAGTTTTTAAGCACCTTGTATGCTTTTGTGTCTTTTGGGCTTTGTTGTTTTTCAAATGTCTTGGGGAGTTTTGTAGGTTAACTTTTTTTCTTTCGAGTAAAATAAAACCGATGAAATTAAAACAAAAGAAAAAAAAAAGAAATCAAGACACATCAACGCCGGGAAGGTCTCCTGTTCAAACTTCTTCGAAACAAACAAGAGCAAAAGGCAGGTAATTACAGGAGAACCCCTTAACTCCAGGTGGGAGGATCTGTGAATTCTTTGAAATGCATGCCTGATAAAAGGAGCACTGCAGCTTTAAGGCAGGGGTCCCCAAACTTGGCAACTTTTAAGACTTGTGGACTTCAACTCCCAGAATTCCTCAGCTAACATGACTGGAGGAAGAATGAAAAGAGTTGAAGTCCACAAGTCTTAAAAGTTGCCAAGTTTGGAGGCCTCTGCTTTAAAGGGGTTTGGCATTTCATAGCATTATTGCCTTGCCACACAGGTTTTCTGATTCCTGCTATGGGAAGAGCTGGAAGCCTTGCTAGAAACAGTGGCCATGTAACAAAAGAGTCAACATGATTTATGAGCTCACACCTTATCCCGGGGCTAAACTACTCAAGCCAACCTTTATTCCAGCAATTCAACTGTTCTGATCTGCAGTTGGACAAAAACTAGGATGCAGTTTTCCGGCCCTTCACCCACTAAATCTGGCCCTAACCGGAAGGATCTCCATTCCAGAAGGATTTTCTTTCTGGCTTTCATTTGACTAGATCAGCTCCGTTGTTTTCCAGCAAAGTGGGAGATACACATCGTGGCAGAGCGATCAACTAGTTTTAGAAAGTTGCTTTGACAAGAAAACTTTGGGAGAAAATAAGGAGCTGGCTGGAAAAGATAGTTAAAACAGGATATAGACCTGAAACCAGATGTATACTGGCTGGGCATAGTACCAGAAGGTTTTGATAAAGGGACCACATATTTAGAATAGAATAGACTTCTTTATTGGCCAAGTATGGTTGGACACACAAGGAATTTGTCTTGGTGCAAATTTAGTGTTACATATATTGACAGCAGCAAGGATTAGCTTCGCAAAATACTGGAAAAATGAGAACATCCCCCATCAGATGAGGAAAATTTTAAGACTGTGCTGAACTGGATAGATGAACCTTAAAAATAAAAGATAAAGAAGGCACAGAAGACTCTTCGATATAGAATAGATTTTTACGAGTGGCTATAGAAGACAAGAGGTAGAAATTAGAGGAAGAAAGACAATGAATGTCTGCATCAAAGATAGGGATGGTTTATAAAATCATTAGAAGTACTAAAAAAAATGTAAATAAGATAATATAAATAAGAAACGTAGTTAAAAATACTTGGTGATGTTATTGCTATTATTATATGTTTCTATTAGTATTATCTTTATGTGTGTTAATATTTAAGGTATGACTATTTTTGGCTTGTTAATTCAAAATGTTCAATGTTCATTTTCACTGTATTCAAAATGTTTATGAATAAAATTATAAAAAATAACCAGCTGCTTTGGGGAAAAAAAATAGAAGTCAGGTTTTTTTGGCCCAGGGATGACAGACATCTGCCTGCTTCGGGGTTGCAAGCTGGGAGAGTCCCTCTGATGAATGTTGACATCCAACTCCTACCAGCCAACAATTCCGCTTTTCTCTGGCTTGTTCTGCCAAGTCAGCAGAACTTGCATCTGAACAAACCATCTGTAGCACAAGGCTGCAAAATATGCTCAAGGAAAGGAACCTGGCCATCCTTAGAAGTTTTTTCCTCCAACCTCCCCAGAAAATAACTGCTGCTGTTAATATGTAATGAGTGAAGGGGTTGAGTTCGCACATCCCCTCAAGCTATTATTTGCCGAAAAGAAGGACAGGTTGAATAAGCCAAAGCTGGTTAGGCTCTGTCAATCTGGGTTGGTAACTATTATCTGCCACAGAGGCAGCTTTTCCCGTAAAATCGTCAGCCAAATGTGCCCAAAGGCTGCGATAATTTAGTGCGATGTGTGAACAGAGTCCATGAGAAAAATGAAGTACAGGTAACTTAGGGACCTCAAGAACCTATCAATCCTCCCGCTGGATTTGGCCATAATATTCTGCATTGGAAGCCTTGATTAATGAAGAAGCAAAGAAGGTCTGGATGAGGATAAAGAAATGGCTGGAGGAAATTATTAAGCAAAAAAATTGAGTTGAATCTGGAACTATTCCTTATTAGGTGTAATAAAAGACAATTTAAGTAAAAAACTAACAGTATATCATACTTCATATAATAACGGTGGTGAGAATTGTTTTCGCACAACTTTGGAAACAGACTAATATTCCTACAGAAGATATGGTGATAAAAAAAAGTGCTTGAATGTGCAGAGATGGATAAATTAATGACAGAGTTAAAAGACAAGGAGGAAACAGAATATTATAAGATTTGGGATGTGTGGCACGAGTGGCTAGAGGATAAAGGTAAAGAAGGTGTATAAAAATTACTCAAGTGTAGCAGGAAATGTATACACAAGTCAATATACAAAGGTAAATATACATGTAACAATATTAGAGGAAATGTATACACAAGTAATTATACCAAGGTAAATATAAATGTAACAATGTTAGAGGAAATGTACCAGAAATTGAAAAAGCAAAATGAAACTGTTACTAAGTAAACAGGAGAAATGTGGATTCAGAAGCACTGTCAGGAATGGAAACCTGGTGTAAATATTGAAAAATGTGTAATAAAGATTATTATTAAAAAAAAAACAAGAGAAGCCTTGATTAAGAGGAGGTAACCAGGTTGCATCCTAGCCACCAGGATAAAGAAAAGCACGCTCCTTTTCTTTCTGGAGACCTGCAGGAGAAGCTGCACCTTGGTCAACCGTGCCTGCCCTGGGCACCCAGGGCATCGGTAGGCCCCTTGCCCAGAGGGCTACCAGCTCCTGCCTTCACTTACCCTTTTTGAATTCCTCCAACATGGCGTCCAACTTGGTGTCGTGGAAGACGAAATGGACAGGGTGGTTGTAGAACTTGGTGATGGTCTTGAGGGTGGTGCAGTCGTCAGGGTCCACAAAGGCCAAATCCTTGATGTACAGGATATCCACAATGTTGGATCGCTCCTCCTCGAAGACCGGGATACGGGTGTAGCCGCTTTCCATGATTTCGGACATGGTGTTGAAATCCAAGATGGCGTCGCTGTTGATCATGAAGCAGTCGTGAATGGGGGTCATGACGTCCTCCACCGTCTTGGTCCGGAGCTCCAGAGCTCCCTGGATCATGTTCAGCTCCTCCTTGACCAGATCGTTGTAAGGCTCCGTGATCTTCAACATCTCCACCAGCTTCTCCCGGTTGTAGACGGTGCCGATCTCTTGACCCAACAAGAAGTCCAGGATCTTGCTGATCGGGTAGGATATGGGGAAGGTCAAGAGCATGAAGATCTTGGTGAGGATGATGGTGTTGGCTCCCACGGCCAAGCCGTGGCGGGAGCAGAGCGCCTGGGGCACGATCTCCCCGAAGATCACGATGCCGGAGGTGGAGGCAATGACGGCCACCAAGCCCGATCCTATCAGGTCGTCCAAGAGGATGGTGAGGGTGGTGTTGACCAGGACATTGCCCAGCAGGAGGGAGCAGAGCAGGTAGTTGCCCTTGCGCCGGATGGGCTCGATCCGGCGGGCGTAGCGCTTCTCCGTCTCGCTGCCGCAGTTCTGCACGATGCGCAGCTCCATAGGATCGAGCGCCATCAGGCCCAGGTTGAGCCCGCTGAACATGCCCGAGAGCGCCAGCAGCACCCCCAGGAGCAGCACCTGGAGCCACAAGGGCAGCAGGCGCGGCTTCTCCTCCACCACGCGCAGGAAGGCGTCCTCGCCCTCCAGGCGCCGCCAAGCCCGCTCAGGATCGCTCCGCGCGCACAGCACGTAGAGCTTGGAGCGCTCGGCCTTGCGCAGCCGCTGCACCCGCACGCCGATCAGGGCCGAGGTGGGGCGGCTCCGGCCGGCAGGGTGGGCGTGCACCACCAGGTCCTGGCTCTTCTCCGGGCAGGTGGCGTTGGGGCTGCCGCTGCCTCCTCCTCCTCCTCCTCCTCGGGTGGCGTTGGGGCCAGGCGGGCCCACCTCGGCGAAGTACACCGCCTGGTCGGCTCTGGAGCTCAAGCCCAGCCCGTAGAGGCGCAGCACCACCTGGGCGCCCTCTTGCACCTGCAGCACGCCGGCCTCCGTCTCTTGCTCCGGCTCCCAAAGCGGCCGGTCGGTGCTCTCCAGTCGCATGCCCAGCACCACGGGGCCGCGGCGGTCCGGAGAGGAGGAGGAAGAGGAAGAGGAGGAGGCGGAGGCGGCTCGGCCGGGACTCAACAGCAGCAGCAGCAGCAGCAGCAGCAGCAACAGCGGCGGCCCTGGACTCAGCCATGCCCGGAACGGGAGCGGCGGGCCGGCTTCGGCTCCGGAGCCGCGGCGGCTCCCAAGCCGGCGCAGCGCCATGTTCCCGCCAGGTTTACTCCGAAACGCGGAGCAGCCCAGGATTTTTTTTTCTTTCCCTTTTGGGCGCCCGAGGGGGAGGGGCTTCGCCGCGTCACGGGCTCGGCTGCTTTGCATAAGGCACGCCCCCCTTTTCCCCCCTCCCTCGGGGGTGGGGGGAACCCCTTAAGGAGGCGCCGGGAAGCGGGGCTGCTTGCTTGCTTGCTTTTTTTGTGTGTGTTTTAAGGAGGCTCCCGGCGGTGAGGAAAGAGCGAGCCGCTATTCGAGGCTTAGCGGGGAACTTGGTGCCTGAAGGCGGGGAAGAGGGGAAGGGAGGGGATTCGAACTCGAACCGCCGGAGCAACTCGTCCCCTCCCTCCCGAGGCTGGGACTAGAACTAAGACCGGGACAGCCTGGATCCAAGTCCTCCCCCCCACACACACACTTCCCCAGCCTGGGACTCGAGCTAGGACCGGGATAGCTCGTCAGATTTAACAGATAATCAGAGTTGGAAAGGGACCTTATAGGGCATCTAGTCCAACCCCACCCCACCCCGCCCAAGCGGGAGACCCTACACCATTTCTGACCAATGGCAGTCCTTTCTCTTCTTGAAAGTCTCAAGGGATGAAGCTCCCACAACTTCCGAGGGCAATTTCTGTTCCAGCCTGGGATTCGAACTAGGACCAGACCAACTCGTCCCTCTCTCCCTCCCCACCCTGGGACTCGAACTGGGACCGGGACAACCTGGGTCCGAGTACCTCCCCCCCCCTCCACCCCCAGCCTGGGGCTTGAGCTAGGATAGAAACAGCCCGGGTCAAAGTCCACCTCCACTTCCCCTCCTGGGATTCGAACTAGGAGCAGGACAGCTGGAGCCTTTGCGAGGTTTGCTTTGCGGGCTTTCTTACAACCTCCCCTTCTCCCTTTGATCCTGATCTGTAGGATGGATGGATTTCCCTGGAAGTTTTTTTTCCAAAAGCAGATTAACTTCAGACCCACCCTTAGACTGGGATGGACTATATGGTCTCTTGGCCCAGAGCAAGGGGTTGGCCTAGAAGACCTCCTGGGGTGCCCCTTCCAGCCTTTAGGATTCTATTTTGCTATCTTCTCTTCTCCTCTTGTTGCTTCCGCTCCTTTTGCGCCTCCTTTGCGCCTCTTAGCTTCCGAAATAAAACGGGAAACCCAGAGCTTGGGATCCCAAAGGAGAGGGGATCGGGGCAAGGGCATAGGATCGGGCTGAGCCAGGGCCCGAAACCATGATCACCGCATCCTGGTTTCCTGGCCTAGGCGTTAGGTGGGGCATATCCGGGCTGCACTTGTGCAACGCAACCCCGCTTCCTTCTCACTGCCCGGGCGAGAAAAATCCCCCCTTTGCCGGCGTCTAAGGAGCGGCCACCTCGTGGTTTAGTTGCCTTGCTTTGCAAATCCGGTCATTATCATAAACCACGATGCGATCGGCCCGCTTTTTAATTTAACCTGACACGTTGAACCCGGCTAACGGTAGCTTAGTCGAGAGAGAGAGAGAGCTACGGGCCCGGTTTACTTTTGGAGATCTTGTGTTGCCAACAACGTTGCTTTTAAACACAAACACACACACACACTCACACACAAACAAAACTTAGCGGCTGCTGCCGGTAAGTGGAATTGAACAGCTTGGAAACAGGAGGGAAGAACTGAAGTTGGCTGGTGTTTTGCTGCTATTGTTCTTCATTTAATTAAATCGCTTTATTTCAGTGAAAGTGTTTTTTTGATTTACTCTGCCTGACCCTTGTTTGGAAAGGGTTTGTTGTGCAACATTATTAAGCAATGAGCTGGATGATCCACCGGCTGTATCCTTATTCAGCCCCAGCCATCCAAACACAGTAATGTGCACCCAAAACAGGTACAACTCCAGGAAACAGTATCTATCTATCATCTATATCTATATACCTTCCATATCTTTATATATCTCTATCTCTATCTGTCTCCATCTCTATCATCTATCTATCTATCTATCTTTATCCATAGTCTCTACCTACCTACCTACTTATATATTTCTACATGTATCTACTCCTACCTACCTACATATGTCTGTGACTGTGTCTATAGATAGACTGTCTGTATATCTATCTGTGTCTGTCCTGTCTGTCTGCCTCTTATCTTTATCTATCTATCTATCTATCTATCTATCTATCTATCTATCTATCTATCCATCCATCCATCCATCCATCCATCCATCCATCCACCCACCCACCCACCCATCCATCCCTATTCTATGAATGTGTATGTGTGTGTGTGTGTGTGTGTGTGTGTATGTATATGTATATGTATATGTATATGTATGCATATGTGTGGATCTTTGGTTATTTGGGTTTTCTCCCGCATAAAATTGGAAGTATACTTCCAATTGTACACGGGAGAAAACCCGAATAACCAAAGATCCACATACAAATACCCGCGAAAACCTCAAAACACACACACATGTATGTGTATACACACACACACACACACACACACACACACACACACACACATATATGTGTGTATGTATATGTATATGTGTGTATATGTATATGTGTGTGTATGTATGTGTGTGTATATATATATACGTACACAGACACACACAAGCGAAATATCACTCACGCATCATCACAAAATCTCCAGAACTGTCAAGCCTACAAACTTGAAATTTGGCACCTAGGTTCCTCTTGGCTTCTGGGTGCTCACTAGGAAAGGGTTTTTCGAATGACCATCAGAGCATTCCTATTTCCTATATTATTATTATGAACATGCTCTGATGCTAAGGAGTTCTACTCATTCTTCCCACCTGAAAAGAAATCTCTTCCAAATGCAAAACGCAAGGAGAGGAGAGGAGTTTCAGTCTCAGTTTCGCTTTCACAGCAGCAAACAGTTTTACTACAGAACAGTTGAGTTAAGCCGCGCCCAGGCTCCTTGCTGTCTCCTTCTTGCTCACACAGCAAATACCTCAACTCTTTCACACACTTGACGGGAGTCTAGCCAGATGAATGCTGATGGATGCTGGTAGGCAGAGGCAGAATTTCCGCCCCCCCTTATTTCCCCCCCCAAAACTAAGCCCGATAACCGTTTCGTAGTGAAGCATGAGTATCCAGCTAGTTGATTATAGGCCATCAAGCCAGTGCTGACTCTTAAATGACACCTACAATAGGTTTTCCTCCAGGAATATCTGGATCTTTCCGTCCTGTTGCCATACTCCTAGCCTTTTCCTCTTTCCTTCCCGCTTTCCCAACATTACAGACTTTGCATAATGTGTTCCAGGTAGGAACAGGAAAGCCAGTAATACAGAATATAATTTTTTATCCTATATTACTCTAGAATATTTGTTTAATGTCAGGAAGAACAATAAGCGCCTCTCCTGATGCTTTCCATCTCTGTGAATGCTTCTCGTCAGAAAGGAAGATGTAACATTCCAAATCCCTCCCCACCCCACTAACCTGCTTTCCAGCTCTGTTCTCCTGTGCAGGGCAACCAAAGAAGACCCAGCCGATCAGCTGGAGGCAGAGAATAGATGGGGGCCAGGCCAGTCAGAGGTGGGATTTGCTGGTTCTCTGAATGACTCAAAATTTCTGCAACGGGTTCTCCAGAACCGCTCAGAACCTGCTGAATACCCACCTCTGTTTTGGTGGGTCGTAAGACGTGGTTCTTCACCCAAGCAGTGAGCTGGGATGGTGGTTCAACTGGGAGACTGTTTGGTGTGGTACTTGGGGAGAAGGGTGCTTAATCTGTACTTTGATGGATTGTCCCATTCACGGAGCTGGGCACGGCGTGGCCTGCGCATGACACATCCGGCCCATCTGCTGCCAGTTTTACACCCCTGTTCTATAGTATTCACATGGCGCTTAAAGCACAAGAAAGGTTCAAAACCTGATGTGTGATATAATCCCATCGATGTACACTGCAGTGGTGGGATTCAGTTTTTTTTTTACTACCAGTTCTGTGGGTGTGGCTTGGTGGGTGTGGTGTGGTGGGTGTGGCTTGGCTGTGGCAGAGAAAGGATACTGTAAAATCTCCATTCCCTCCTTACTCCTGGGGGAAGGTTATTGCAAATAATAATAATAAAAAATAATAATAAAATAAAATAAATAAAATAAAATAAAATAAAATAAAATAAAATAAAATAATAAATAATAAAATAAAATAATAAATAAAATAAAATAATTAATAAAATAAAATAAAAAATAAAATAAAAAAATAAAATAAATAAAATAAAATAAAATAAAATGTAAAGTAAAGTAAAGTAAAGTAAAGTAAAGTAATAAAATAAATCCCCCTTCCCACCCCACCCCACTAACCTGCTTTCCAGGTCCGTTCTCCTGTGCAGGGCAACCAAAGGAGACCCAGCCAATCAGCTGGGGCTCAGGAGGCGGAGAATAGATGGGGGCGGGGCCAGCAAGAGGTGGGATTGGCCGGTTCTCCAGATTTCCGCTACCGGTTCTCCAGAACTGGTCAGAACCGACTGAATACCACCTCTGATCGCAGATATATAGTGTCTATTGCTTGAACAGGGGGTTGGACTAGAACAGTGGTCCCCAAGGGACCAGGGACCAGTTTCATGCAAGACCATTTTTTCATGGACACGGAGGAGGGAGGGGAGGGGAGAAACACGCAACCTAGTTCCCTCGCACATGCAGTTTACAAAGTAGGGTTCATGCTCCAATGATGTTGTGGTTCGCCGGCAGCAGGTGTGGACGGCTGAGGTCTCGGAGAGCGAGGACTCAGATGAGGGGCCTGCATGTGAGGCAGGGATGGGGCCAGGACCATCTGGGAGTAGAATGCTGCTTTCGGAGATTGTGGAGGCTGGCAGCAATGAGGAAGAGGTCCCCGAGGAGCCTGTGCCAAGTGCACGTGCACGCAGGGCTGCTCAAAGGAAAGAAAAGCTGCAGTAGCATGGGCGACTCGGGAGTAAGGCCGCAAGGTGACGGCCCCTCCCTTAAGAGATAAAAGCCAGCTGAGAAACTGGAGTTCTTTGCAGGAAGCAAAGACGTTTTTGCACTCGAGCCTTGTGGACG